AATAAAGTTTGTGTAAATTTACTAAAACTAAAATAGTAAAATTAAATTTTGTATAAAAATAGATGAAACAAATATTGAGATTGTGCAAATTAATTAGTAATATTGATTGGTAATATAGATTTGCAGATCTTGGACATTCTAGAAAGACAGAAATCTCCAAAAAATATAAAAATTTTTTATAAAAACTAGATATAGTTTTTATAATAGAGTTTGAAAGTATTTTGATTGTAGTTTTGTTAATTTTAGTCTATTTTTAATATAGAGAGTTGTTATTCATACCCCCTATTTTTATTATTCATACCTCCATATAATAAAAAAATCAAAGTCACGTGACCCCATTTAATATATGACTTGTGATTGGTGAAAAGTTTATAAACACTTACCAGTCACATGATCCTAACCTAACTAAATGTACTATGGACATGTACCAATCACTGATCTTAGTTTAAGGTATATGCGTTTTTACATGACTGGTATAGGTTGTGTCTGTAGACTTTTTTAGTAATCATCATTATAAGCATGTGGAAAATATTCTTGTGGTAACTATTCTAAGAACATCACCAACTTAAAAGTTTGTTAATATTCGGGTTAGCATTTATATTAAGGTTTGGTATTAACATCATACATCATAAAATTATTCAAAAAACCTTTTTTATTAGAGCATTAGAGATGGTTTCTTATGTAGATTTTTGAGATATGACCGATTTTTGGCCCAAAAACATTTGTCTATTAATTGTCTTGATCATGTTATGTTAGTGTTACATTTTACCTGATCTTGTAATTGGCTTTTGGTCACATTCTGAAAAATTTTTGGTGGTATTTTTCTGATGCGAGTTGCATTATATAAACTTCTACCAATTTACACTTTCACTGCTATAAATTTAACACATTCAACTTGTATTTTAAGCTCTATTAGAGTACTTTGCATAGTGATTTTTAATAGTACTATGCTATTAAATATTATTAAATGAAATATACCTTAATTTTTTTTACTAGTTGCCGCGTTAAATACTGATACTTAAAAAATATTGACTAGGACAAAACGAATACCATAAATCACCATATAAATGACCCAAACATGTTATATTTCATCTATTGAAAACCTATATTATATCTAAAGATATAATAACAGGAAGATTTCTGTTTGTTATATTGAATCTCTTACATTTCACCAATCTTAATCTTGGGTACAATATAGAGAAGTCTACTATCAAGAAGGGTCTTTTATAAGTAATTTATGGTATTATATTAGGGTGAGTACTGGAATTATTTAAGAGAATATTTTATTTCAAAAAAAAATGATAAGCTAATTTTATATTAATGATCAAACGTTTTAATTCTTTTCTTTAAGTATATTAATGGTAGTTTATACATATCATGTATATATTATTAGAAATAACATATTAAATAAAAAACGAACAATCTATTAATTCGTATTACTTCTATTTAGACAAGTACGAGCATTATGTCCAGGCTGCCGGCAAAGAGAGCATTGCCTTACATTCTGTTCTACCAACTCGAATCCAGAATGATCTCTCCTAGTTGAGTTGGTTGATTGATTATTAGTAGCTCCAGTAGGATGTTCTTTAGTACATATGACGTTAGGGTTTTGTAAGGCCATCGGTATAGAATTGATTATGTTATTTAATGTTTCTTGTGTTGCTACTTGTTGATGTTCTGGCCATTCATTATATCTTTGCTCTAGATTTTGTAAAAGTGGTTGCAGTGTATTAATATTTTCTTCAAGTTGTGGTATTGGTAGGTGTCCTTGAATCCACCAATGTGTTTGAATATCTTCCGGTGTTAAACCTTGACTATCTTCTAAATTTTGAATGTAATAAGCACAAGGTAGTCCTATTGTCTTCGAAAAAAAGCCTGTGCATGGTGGTAGAAGATTCTGCACAGTAGCATGAGAGGCTTTTTGATACATCTCATTTATTTTTTAAAAGCAAAAGTTGAAACTTTGCCCTTAACGTTCACGTAGAATTGGTTGTTATGCGCAAAAATTGGAAAACAAATACGCTCTGATGAAACTATAGAGTCGATTTCTTTTTTTTTGGTTAGTCACCATCAGAGAAATTTTCACGTAAACCTCATGAAGGTCTCCTGATGATATTTGTAAATATGTTTTAAGAACAGCGTATGCACCTTCTATACAAGAAGTTACTGTTGTTCCTAGATGAAGAACCGAATTTGTCTATACCTTTATGAATCTTTCCTTCCACGATAACCAAGTACTCTCAAAGTAGTTTATAATAGAAGGTTTATTAGTGTAAGTAGAATGAAATGCTTGCCATATTTCATTAAACTCATTTTTAGTTTCAGAATTAACGACTTCATTCTATTTTGCAAGAAAAGTGTCCCATTCACTGCTCGACACATCTTCAGTTTCTCTTAGGAATTGTGACTTACAATTTTTTAAAACATTTTTATTAATATGCCATATGCATAATAAAGTTGTTGAATTCGGAAAGACTATCCTAAGAGCATTCATAAGTGACAATTCTCTATCAGTTACAATAACGCCAGGTTTTGATATCCCTTCGAATAAGCGAACAATACGAGTTAGAGCCCACTTGTAGTATTCTTCATCTTCGCTCTTCATAAAGACAAAGCATGAATAAAACGTAGTATTGAAGCTTGTCATGCTGACAACATTCAACAGGGGCATTTTAAATTTGTTTGTTTAATAGATACAATCCATGAGGAGGACAGAGGAATATTGACGAGTAAAATTGACAGATTTATTATATGCAAAAAAAAGGTAAATAACATAGCCTGTATTGTCACATTTATACTTATTTATATAATCTTCTTGAAGTTCGTTGATAAGCACTTGAATTGGGGTACAACCTTCTGGTCTTTGTTGGCGAAGTCGTTCACATATATTATAGATGTCACTATTAATAACTGCTGTTGATGGATTGTTTTGGCGAAGGGTCAACACAATTGTTTAAGGATGTGATCCAGCAATAGTCATTGCTGTAACTGTTTCTAGTTGTTGGTCTGTGAGTTGGCGGGCAATTGGGTAATAATAATGAATGGAGTTTTGATTTCGTAATCTCCAGAAGTAACTATCCATACTAGGACTTGGAATCATTATTCGCTAAACTGTTTATTTATATTTTATAGTTAACTGAGTAAAAAAGTTTCCAATCAATTAAAAACCGTCAATTCTTCGCTTAGCTGTTTTTAAATTTTAAATGATTAATCATTTAATGTCTCACATAGAGATATGTATCATAAATAGCATATACTGTACATATCTATATAATAAAGCCTATTAATTGGATTTTATTCACAAGAAATATGTATCGCTATTGTCATGGGTTTTTCATAACATTTGATTAAAAAATTGGAGGCTTGGATTAGATATCATCTATTGTTTCTAAATTAGTAATGACCCTAATTGTCAAGTGTAGCAAAACCTTGGATTATTAAAACTTAGTTTCAAAAGCTTAGCGGATGAAACTGTAGTTTCATCAAGAGTCTAAATTGTGATCATTATAAGTCCCAGATTTTTTGTAATTCTTAAAAATGTATATAAAGAGTGCATTTTTATGCTAATAATAAAAAGAACAATTCCACGATATCAAAATTCTGAACTCTTAATAATTGGTTCTAAATAAACTAACCCATAAGTTACAGTTAATGCTAAACTGTGTATATATATGCACTGTTCTCTCAAATGATCATAACACTAGCATAAAACAAGTTTTATTAAAAAAGCAGGTCATGCAAACTTATTCCCGATTATTTTGTGATGAATCAAAATTTTAAAAGCACTAGGTAAATAATATGTAATTCATTGTATAATCAATTGAATAAATAGCTAAACGTTTAATGATCAATAAATGGTTATACAAATGGGCAAAAGCTACAGACACGACATTCACGTAATAAATCTAGTTCTCGTTATTGTTATGCATATAAGCATCTGAAATGTTGTGTCCATAGCTTTTCCCTACAAATAAAGGGTAAAACGATTAAATAAACAGTTAGTTATTTAATTTAAGTATTCGAATCAGCCAGGATCCCCCCCTTAGCCGGGGGTGATCCTGGCTGATTCTACATATTCACATGATTTTCAATCACGTGACTTGCAATGATAATTACCAATCACGAGTCGTATATTAAACGCGGGTCACGTGACTTTGATTTTTTATTATATGGCGGTATGAATAATAAAAATAGGGAGTATGAATAACAATTCCCTTAATATATTATATATCAAAATGAAGCTATTGATAAGCTGAATATTTTTGTATTAAGGAGTATTAAATATTGATTTAATAGAATTTTGAGTTTTGGCTAGTTGAAGTAAAATTTAAAAAATTAATTCTAATTTTATAAAAAAGAGTTTTAGAAGTTTGAAGCTAGACCATCTATATATAAAATTTACTATAGAACAGTTTTATATAAATGGCCAAAATAAGTTTACTTAGTAAATTTTAAAAAATAGAGTGATTATTTTTAGAGAAAATTTGGTATAAGTGATTGTTAAAAAGAGTTAATGATTTGTGTTACTATGCAACTAAATTAAAAAAAGTTTTATAAAGTTTATAAAATATATTTTTAAAAATATATTCTATAATAAACATATATTTTATATCATTAATAAATTATTATTTTGTTTAAAAAATACTAATTATAATTTAATAAACAATATATTTGTTATCTGAAAATGATCTGCAAATTTTTATAAA